CCCCCCCCCCAGTTTTAGTGTTTTGGAGAAGATCCTATGATTATCAGAGCATTCTGGGCAAATACAATTGCTAAACTCTCTTCATATAACTAGTTCATCTTTCAAGGTCATGCTAGAACACCTTCCCTCACCGATCAGTCCAGTGGTGTAGCCTTGTTGCTGAAGCAGCCTGGCAAACGTTGTTTCATTAGCAGGGAGCCCTCCTGACCCAGCAATCCACTGCAGTGCCCGGTATCTGTTGCTGGAAGCCATCCCTGAGAGAAACAACACCAGTCATTCCTTGGGCCTTTTGCTCTATCCCAGCAGAGGACAGGCTGCTTCTGCCATCTTCTGCCTCAGGAGCTCAACCTGAAGCCAGAGTTTCTCACAAGACATGAAACTGAGCATATCTTGTAGGCAGTCACATCAATAGAGTGTCTTAAGGACTCCAGGTAGTCAAGAGTTATTTTTTCAAACAAATGCTACCTGGCACCAGTTTTACCATCAAACCCATAATAAATCACTGGTGACAGCATATCACAGGGATGTTGCATCATGTTAAGTGAGTACAATTCACCCAACATACACACCGATTTTGCAATTAGCTTTCAAAGTAGGAACGTAATTTTCCTATAGAATGCCTGGTGAGAGATGTACATCTATGAAGTCCTCCAAAAGGCACCTTAGGTAGGTGGGGAATAGATCCAGCAGTCCATTATCACCAGAGTTTTGTGACTTTCTGCACTATGTTGACATTGAACTTGCCTGTTTCTCTTGGCAGCCCTGTTTCAACCTCTTATCTCTAACCATCATGAAGAGAAATTCCACCAGTTTGCCCCAGCCTGCATTGCTCTAAGGAAGTGACAGATATCAGTGCTGTTGGCATTTCTCCATACTTACATATTTTCATCATATACAACTCCCAAATCCTATAAAGTCAGGCTACAGCTCTGTCAGCTGGCAAGGCAGTGCTTCCTCTGCAGAAGGTACTTACAGAAAATTTGAGCCTTTAGCAATGTATTTTCTGTCTCAGGTTGAGGAAATAACTGAATTCTGTTATCCCAATATTCATGGGCTATTGGGGTACCTCAGCATCACACACAGACATTTGCAATTCAATGTGGACCCAACCTGATCTGATGGGATATCTGCCAGTGAGGAAGGCTGCTCTGCTTGGAGTGCAAAGAGAAGCCGCAGCGATGTGCTGAGTGAGTTTCACCCCTTCTCTTGCCAGGCGGTCAATGTTTGGGGTCCTAAAAAAACATTTCCAAGTTTAATAGAAGCGAGGTAGTCTGAAACTGTTCTTAAGAAATTGCCAGGAAGAGCTAAATCTTTTGAACAGCCCCTCAAAACATTTTAAAATGTCTACTTTACATGCTCCAGGACTGATATAGTAACAAGTTTGACATGGCAGGTGAAGACAGTTGTAGTCACTGGAGAATCCATCTCTCAGGAACAAACCATATAACACACTTGGCAACACTGAAAAGAAACCTAGTTGTTGTTTGTACTGTTTCGGTTGAAAAAAACCCCAAACAAACCTGAAATAGAAAGAATTCTAAAACTGACAAGAGATCACTTTGCCAACACATTTAGCCCCTGAATTTCAAAGTTCATTGAGCCAGTGAATCTCAGAGGTTATCTGAAGCTCTTCTAACCGAGACTTTCTGTTCCATGTTTTTAACATATCCCATGTATTTCATAATATAGTGTTATTTTTACATAGTTACATCTGTATGGGAGTCTAGCTCTCCCAGAATAATGGACTACAACACCACAAAGACTGAAAGAGGCTTCCCTTCTGTCACAAGCCGGTACTGGGGAGCTACTTATGTGGGGAAGAAAAGAACAGTTTCCCACACCTTCCATCTTCACCACCAGCAGAGGAGGACAGGGGAGTTCCACAAGCACATTGACATTTCTCTGTACAACCCCAACAACGTCATGTGAGGGAGACTGACCCAGAGCAGGCTGACAAAATCTCTATGCTTCCCTTGGAGAACATAAGTTGAGGCTTGTAAGATGTGTTCCCAGTGCCCATTCAGTTCTGCTTAGTCTTTTTAGTTTTGAAGGAATGTAATCACTAATATTTGAAGGAACATAACCCTGTAATAAATGATGTGGGTTAGTTCACATGAGTCTGGATCAGTGTTCTGGAGGATATGACAAACAAGTGGATAAGAGACCCTGGAAGAGCACTGTGTGGACAGAGCAAGACTTTACTGTGCAGGGAAAGGAATTAAAGAATTTTTGTATGAGAAGGAGGGAAAACAGCTACTGTAAGACTAAACCAAGTGGCTGGAGAGTTAGCACATGGATGGAGGGACTCGAATTCTCAAAAATAAATAAAAAAACCCCACAAATTAAAATATAGATTTTTTTTTTCTGTCACTGGACACTTTCTTAGGTACCAATCCTATATGCATATATGTACAAGTACTTAAATGCACAATGAATGGAGCCTTAGATTAAGAACATTTCTTATTTTATAATTAGGCTTAACTACTGAGGACAGGTGTTCTACAATGTTAAACGTGCTGTACTGAGATATCTTTTACCTTATGGTATTGTTTCCATAACAACCTATATCTCCAATGCCGAGATCATCAGCCAGAAACAGAAGTATGTTTGGTTTAGAGTCCATAGCTGCACTTGAGGCAAACATGTTCCAAAATAAATAAGATGCCAGTGCCATTAAGGGGTATGTTCTGAAAGACAACAAAATATCTTTTTACACATTGGACTTGCAAGGGTTAGACAGTGATGGGAACCCTCAGGCAGCAGATCTGACGCATGAAACACAAAATAGGGGGAAAGTTCTTTCTTAGTCCCACTTTCAGTGGGAAGGAGGAGAACAGCATTACTGGTTTCATTTATTTTATCTTTGCCATCAAGATCACTTTAGTCAAAGAGGCTGTAGTAGGCTTTCCACATCCCAAGAGGCAAGGACTAAAGTGAGAGCTGTTATTTATTTTACCAGGAATTCTCATCTTGAATCAGCTTGAATCATTTCAAAATGTATCAAAAACTTCAAAGAGCTGAGAAAAATTACTGTTTCTAAATTCCACAAATTCCGGGAAAATTCAGGTTATGTTCCAAAATAACTCTTGCCACCAGTGAATAAAGCCTTTAGTTACATTTGGAACACAAGTGGAAAAGCTTAAATTCTCCTCTCCAACTCAAGTATACTTTAAATCAAAGCCCCCTTCTGGCATTCTAAAATGCCAACCAGGCTCCATACCAGAAGCAACTGTATTTATTATCTGAGGGAAACAGAAGTCACATTTTTACACATACATACAATACTTCTTACGTATATATCTAGAACATTTGAAAATGCATGTTCTTCCAAGTGATTATTGCCAGCCAGTAGTGTTCAAACTTAATCTGGATTGACTTTTTCACTTGGACAGAGTTATTACTGCAATATGTACTAATTTTGCAGGACATAGGGCAGCAGCAACTCTCTAGCACAGACTGAGAAAGCTGCTGCAAATTTCAGTATTGGCAGTTTTTGTGTGAAGATCTTGTGTACAAAACCATATTGTTGAATGAACAAGTAACCAACATATCTAACAGGCAAACACAACACACAGGACTTTCTGTAAACATGACTGTGAACTCCCAGCTGTAAATAAGTAACCTGTGGTTACAGGGATTTATTAATCCAAGAGCAAAGTTCCAGCTGGGGTTTTCTTTGTATCTTCTGCTGCTGGTTGCAACAGTGATTTACAGCACTAGCTTTAAGAAGCCTAAAGCCTAGCTTTAGGAGCACTGTAGGCAATTTCCATCTCAATACTTGGATTGCTCATTTTAAATAAAGGAGAATACTCTGTTTGACAATGTTGTATCTTCTAAGGGTTACTGGGCATTATACTGGTATTTAGAGCTGCAGAGGGGAGGTTTCTAAAAGATCCTGGAAATAAGAAGCCCCCAGTAGCCCATCTCAGTCACTCAGGCATTCTTGTTTCCAAGCTGGGGACGAGAGGAATGCTCACCACCTCTTTCTGCTACATTAAGAAAAGGAAAAGAAAAAAAGAGAAAAAAAAATTTAAACCTGTTTTTACTAATGTTTGCAGCCCCATCCTATCACTTTGCTTCCTCGTGGTGGCAAAGTGTTGAATATTTGCTGATCCCTGTTTTAATCCTGCTTGTGGATTAAGATAGGGTCAAGGACAAATTCCATCTCAGGTAACCTACTGCTTATAGTTCCAAGTCTATATCCTAAGATGTTATGTAGCATTACTGTACATTATAAACCAACCATGCTTAGAGCTCAAAGTGATCATCTTTCAGCAATACATGGAGGAAGACTTAAAGAATATTTAGTTACTGAACACGATTAAATCTTGAAAGCAATAGGGTTGAAAGAAAGTAGAACTTAAAACATGCTTAAAGGTGTACATACACACATAAACCTTTTCTGAATTACCTAGAAAGCTATTTCTGGAAATTATAATGCTAAATGATGCCAGAGACTTCTACTTGGGAGAGCGATGCCATTGTCTATAAACATAAAGACATTCAATAAGAATGTAGCTAAAATGGTCCTAGAAATAATTTAGCAGCTACTATTGTCAAATTCTTTTATGTCTGCCTAATGAATGTAACTTCTATTTACAAGACTTAAGAAGGATTTGCACCATAGTTGAGCCCCCTTCCATCCAAGAATTCTGCTCTTTCTACATGATTTAACAGTGAAGTTATATCTGTGTTAATGTCTGGCACTCTAGACTGCTTGTCCAAGAGCCTGTACAAAGGGAAACACAACCTTAGAACAGTGTGGAACTCACAGGCATGGAGAATTAAAAAAAAAAAAAAAAAAAAAGGGGGGGGGGGGAGGGAGAACAAAGCGA